TTTCCTAACAGCTACCTGATTAGGTCCATTTCAGGACAATGAAAACCAGCTTGAAACCTGGGAATTATCTAGTATAACAAAATCACAACATAAAGAGTGAGTGAGTGAGTGTATATGTGTGTGTGTGTATATGTATGTGTGTATATATATATATATATATATATATATATATATATATATATATATATACACATACGTATACACACACACACACACATATATATATACATATATAGAGAGAGGGGGGGAGGGAGGGAGGGAGGTGTTATTGCTATTTGCCATAGAATGATGGCATATTGTTTTATCTGAATTTATGAAAATGAACTTGATTATTAATTTCTTAACTATAAAAGAGTGGGATCTGTTTCTCAATTGCTCCGCAAGAGAAGTACAAATAATGGAATTTGTTCCCATCCAAACATTAATCTTCCTCCTGGATGGATAGACATTTATTTGCACAAAAGTGAGTCTTGTCTGTGATTAAGCATGTTGAAGATTATTGCAAAACTGAAAGGGAAGAGGCTACTGGCAAGTCTAAATGAATACAATGATGTCAAATTATGGATGTTATATGCACTGCCTATGAGAAAAAGTTGCTTTTCATAAGTTATAATACTCTACGCACTTGTGCATCGGAGTGAATGTTGTCATACTTTTTGGGATGACTGAATTTGTATATGCATAATAATGCCTAATTTTAAAATTCAGAACTTTTCACCATGCATTTTCACTATACCTATTTTTATCTTTGCAAACAAAACCATTTTTAATCCTTTCAACCTTTTCTAAGTCCTCTTTTCATTTTCTTAGGCACAATTACATGGATGTTACATGTTAAGAGGAAAGCAGAAGAAATAGGAAATACCAAAAAGAAAAAGCAGGAAGCCAAAGACATTCTTTGACAACCAAAGGATCTATCAGTTCTCTACAAATTTTTTAAATTGTCAAACATTGCCCACACAGTACAAAATTTCTGTTTCCGGCATTAAGATTCCAGCATTGTTTCTGTTTTGAAAATGCAAGTTATAGAAAAGTTATATATGTCTATTCAGAAATAAACTCTGTAAAATAAAATAGGACTCACCCAGGAAAGCATATTTAGGATTACAATGTGACTATGTGAATAGATAGCTGAATGCAAATATAATCCTAATATTATTACGACTAATTATCCAAAACACTTTCATAACAAGTTGCATATAATTTCCCATTTTTACAGATACTGTAGGAGAAGAGCTGTGTTGGTCTATGGTGGCAAAAAAAGGAGTTCAGTTAACACCTTTTTGAAGTAGCAAATTTTATTAAAAAGTATAAGCTTTCATAAGCATATGCCTTTTAATAAATCTGTTAGTTGGAAAAGGTACTATCGGATTTCTCCTGATTTTTTGTTTCCTTTTTGTGTATTCTAGTCACATATAGCAAGTAAGTTATTCATATTGCCTCATTTTCTTTTTAATTTTTTTTTTTTTTGCAACTGCCTCTAAGAACTCAAATATACACATATATCCATGTGGTTTTGCTTTTTGTATCTCTTACTGTTAGGTCACATTCAACAAATTAAACTTTCCAGTTGTCTCAGAAATAGGAGGTGTATTACATAGGCATCCTTAAGGTACATTCAGGAATCCTTAAGAATTTTCTAAACTAGCTTTTAATGACTACATGAGTAGCTATTATTTTTATGAAACTTAACTTTTATGAGAAAAAAACAAAGGAGAGAGAGAGACAAACAGAAAAGGGAATAAGACTAGCTAAAGAACTTTAAAAAAAAAAACTCAGGATACAAACATATAAAAAAGCAACCCTGATCTAACAATGGAATGTGAACTATATTTGACTTAAACAATGTCAAACACATTACTATTCTCCATATGAAATGTTGGTCGCTCTTAAAGAAACAGGGATGTTTAGCAATCTTCTTAACCTGCTTTTTATTTTCCACAGAGCATAATGTTTTGATTCTACAAACTGTCTTATTTACGTTACTATTGCTACATAATGCGGAGAAAAACACTGAAGCTTGTTTTCAGCAAGAAGATGGGCGGGGAAGAAATTTGTTGTACAAAATTATTATTCATTTCACAAGCCATTTAATGAAAGGAGAAAGGCAAATGTATATTTTATTGTTTAACCTCTAATGTAATATTGAACAATTCTACTAAAGCAGTGGTTCTCAACCTTTTTAATGCCGCGACCCCCAACCGGTCATAAGTCGAGGACTACTCAACCGGTCGTAAGTCGAGGACTACTCAACTGGTGCAGCACCGTTTGCAGAATGGGACTTTGGAGGGCTCAGCAGGGCAGAGACAGCCTGGACAATTCCTATTGGCTTTTGAAAGCCAATAGAATTAGACTCTATTCAAGAAAGTCTATTCTATTGGCTTTCAAAAGCCAATAGAATAAAAGGGAGTAGCACAGCTAAGGAAAAGGGGGGGGGGAATGGCAGACTGCGTTGTTTGGCAACCCCCGTGAAATGGTCGTTCGACCCCAAATGGGGTCCCGACCCACAGATTGAGAACCACTGTACTAAAGGAAGGAAGGAAGGAAGGGAGGAAGGAAGGGAGAGAAGGAGGGAGGAAGGGAGGGAGGGAAGAAGGAAGGAAGGAAGGAAGGAAGGAAGGAAGGAAGGAAGGAAGGAAGGAAGGAAGGGAGGAGGAGGAGGAGAGGAGGAAAGTTTAGTATAAATTATAAAGGCAATCATAGTACATTACCAGATGATGTAAAGGATCATTTAATATGAAAACATGCCACCTCCAATATAATAAAATCCAAATACAACATTACTGTTTCTGTTATTTCAAAAATATTTGTTTTGGCTAAGATTCTACTGAACAAGACATTAACTGCCAATATAAAATCTCTTTATTAAAACCAAAATACATTCAGATGTTAATTCCCATAATCTACATAAAACTGCACAGCTCACTGACTGGAATGTTAAATCTCCTTATTAATTGGAATTCCTAAAGGTTATTTCCCACATAAAATAAGCTATCCTCTTTCTTGCTGCCCCAATTAAAAGAAAATCAATACAAATGTCGACAAAATCATATATCAACTCTTACAAGCTAGGTATAGATTTGTCATTATGATGTTATATAATAATTATCTCCCATTGCTAAGTATCCATACTACTAGACACATTAATATTTTCTATATTATAGACTTCTTTTAATTTTTTTCTGAAAACAATATTCCATGAATTTCAGGCTAAAATGTTGCAACTGTATGAAAACCCAAGCTCTGAGAATTAATATACTGATTACTAAATTAAGTTTCCATCATCAAGGAAACTGAAAACATTTATTATTAAACATTACCTGAGAAATCCAAAAAATTATTTCCTGTTACTATATTAAATGCATCTTAAAGTCAAAAGAAATTTTAGTTTTTAAAACAATTTGACATTAATTTAAAAGAGTACAAAATTCAATCTAATTATTACAAAGGTTTGAGGTAGATTAGTCAGGACATGAATAAGCACATCTATTTATTTGCATATGATGTCAGGTTGCTAGCAGAGAATCAAACAAATCTCCACATTTCTTTATTTATTAAATTTATATGTTGCCCATCTCACTCTCGGTCCACACAAACAAGCGAAGCCCCACCCACAGGATGCAGGCAGCACATGAAACCACGCCCCTCCGGTCCAGAGAAAAACCTTTCTCCGTAGAACCAGTCCCTGGTGCCCAAAGGGTTGGGGGCGTCTGATGTAGAGAATGAAAGAGAAAGGGCCAGGGGTCCAATCCAGCAGCACACTGTTATGCTCTTAAATTATGAAACAAATATATGAAGGAAAAGTAAATACGTCAAGAGGAAAGAAAGATTGAGAAAGTCGTAACTGAATAGCACTGAGATCCTTAAAAGGAAAGCTTATCTACAATTCTGATTGATACATGAAAAGAAATTCTCTATCAAATATATTGTATGAAAAAAAGTAAAATGCATTAACAATGCACATTTACTATCAATGTTCTAATCAGCATCTTGTGCTTACACTTGAATCTGCTTGGTCAAAATGACATTTTGATACTTGTTGCAAAATATGTCCTATGTTCTCAATTTTATTTTAGCACTTTAGGAACTAATGGTATTATATTTATTAAGTAATAATGATTTCATATTTACATGTGCTTTTTAATTGATTGGAAAAATAATCAAACCAAATTGTTGGTGTTCCAGAATGTTGCACTTTTTTTTTTTTTTGAACACAGCTCATACAGATACTTTAAAGCTTTTACAGGGGAAAAAAAAATAAGGATTATAGTAGTGTATAAAGCACAGGTAGTCCTCCTTAATTACTCTGAAAGTGAATTGTCACATGACTGCACTACTTAGCAATGACAGTTGTTAAGTCTGTAGTCCCAGTTCCTGTCATTAGGCCAGGACCGTAACATTATTAGGTGAGTACCTCATATTTCTCCTGTTTCTGCCATATTCACTTTCACTTCAACCCCCCCATCCCTGCCGTTTTGGCCATCCTAAGCTCTACTGCCTACACTTATGGCCCACTGCTGACCTTCCCTGTCTTCTCCCGCCTACTACTGTCAAGGGATCTAGATGCTGGATGAGAGTGCAGCTTTAATAGTCTAATCCTGAATTAACATTTTCCATAGTGGAAGGGGGACAAATTGCCTACTTCACTATATAATCATGACATTTGTGTCATTACATAATTGAGTGTGTTCTGTCAATTTGGTACACTGTGGTGTGTCGCAGATGTATCTGCCCAAACTCTTTAAACCATGGCCTGCAGTACATAAATGGAGTAATACCTTCTTCCTATAACAAACTCGACTTAGAAATTGTTCCAGGCTGCTTTTCAAGTGCCATTGAAGTACCTGATATAAGCTTACCAATCTAGAAGTGTCTTTTGAAATTAATCAAATGCTATCTACTATATTATATTCCTACATGCATAGGAATCTGAATTCCTTCTCCTCGATGTACAAAAGTGGCAAAAACAAATACTTACCCAAAATGCGGACTTTAAATTTTCCACTTTGTCCAAAGCCTCCTTCTATTACACCTTCTTCTCCTGTAGATAGCTTGACCTTCAAACCCACAAACATTTGAATGTTTGTTTCTTTTTTAAATAATGAACGACCAATCACGCTATAATCATCACACAGCTGCAAATTGAACAAATGAAAAAGGAAAACAAAGTTTTGTATAATATACATATATTATTACTTCTACACTGCATTCCTATACTACCAGTAGTATTATAAATAGTTTTCTAAACTACATATAAAAACAATCCAGCATGTAGTACATTATGATAATTAATCTAAAGATTATGCACTGTTATTCTAGGATCACTTTTTTTGAATAAACCATTATTTCCGATATATCAGCTGAAGGGGATAAAAAGCACCTCTAACCACTGGTTTAATCTGAGATACACAGCATGTCTTGAATGAAGAAACAGTTCAAAACTGCATAATTTTTCCATCTGTAGAAAAATAACTCCATCTAGAACAAAATATCTACCATGTCTCTAAATTTATTACCCTTCACACTGAGCAAACTCTTCAATTCTGTTTAAATTCCATTTCAGTTTATTAACCATCATTCAGCCCATTATCACTTATAGCAGGGGTGTCAAACTCAATTTCATTGAGGGCCGCATCAGCATTGCGGTTGCTCTCGGGGGGCCGGATGGGTATGGCCAGGGTATGTGTGTGGCCTACTGGGTGGGTGTGGGTGGAGTGGGTGTGGCCTATTAGGTGGGCATGGCCAGCTCTACATCGTTCTATTCAAGGGTGCCTGTGGGAGCCTGGGCAGGAATGGGACAGATCTGAGGGTTTCTGGCAGAAGGGGGTGGGACTGGGGCAAGTGCCAAGGCATGGTCCACTGGAGGAGCTTCACTGCCTGCTGAAAACCCTCCGCTCGAGCCCATCAAGCCGGATATGTGAAGTAGGCGAGGGCCATTTGCTGGCCACTTCCAGGCAATGGTGCATTTCTTCATTCCTCACAAAGGGTGACACCTCCCCAGCATGCACCCAGGGGGCAGGGCCAATGTGACAGGGGCTGGTTCCTCACTGTTTTCAGACGGCCTTGTGGAGCTAAGGCTGAATGCGTTTCAGCATAGATGGCCACCACAAAATTGTACATTGGCTCCCTCCCAGACCAGGGCCAAGAAGGTGGGGGCCGTTCCCTCACTGTTTCCAGGATGGCTTCGCAGTCCACATGAAACCATTTCGCGGGCCGCATCCGGCCTCCGGGTCTTGTGTTTGACATGTCTGACTTATAGGTATGCTTTCGGGAGAACTAATTTGGGGCATCATCATCATATTGATATTACCCAGCACCAAACACCCAATTCAGCCAAATATTGGAATGGTGTTTTTAGATGTTAAATAGTAAAGGAGACAGGATGAAATCTTCAGATACATCATCAAAAGCTCACACTTTGAATAGTAAGTGTGTACTAGAAGCCATCCTCAGACAAGGTAGATGTTTATAGTACTAAAAAAAAAAAATCACAATAGCCCAATAAAATCAATAGTTAACCCTAACAATTTCTAAATGAACATTGTTTAAGAGCTTACGAAGAGATTGCCAAACTGAAAACAAGGAGTCCAGATAATGACCTTCTTCCAGGGGCTGTGTGAATTTAAAAGGCCACAGCTTTATAAACTATCTTGTTTAATCAAGTTTACATGTCACTTTAACAGTTGCCAATCTGAGAAATGTACCACATGTTAAAAGGCATAATTGCATCTTTAAATTGGGCTTTTATGGTAACATTAAAACTTCAATCAAGTTCAGCTAATGGTGACTAAATTCATATTAAATTCACATAATATTCTGGGCAACCATACATTTTCCCAGTCTTGCCTGCAACTCTGGAATGTCTTGGTGATTTTGTATCCAAGTACTAATAACAAGGCTTGACTTAGTTGTTTTGGGATCAGAATGGTACAGGTCAGAGGTGGGGAATCTTGGCTCTTTTATGACTTCTGGACTTCAACTCCCAGAATTCCTCAGCCAGCATCACGACATGTCATGTGATGTTGCAAGTTTGACACTCCTGCTCTAAGCCATACCCAACAGACTAGTCCTGAACTAAAATCAATCGCCATCAAAGGATTGAAATACTATGTCATAATTAGTCTGTCAATTCTGTTGGTAATTTCATTAGGTGGCAAGTGGCTAATTTATCATTGATATCCAAACTAAATAGACATATTTAATATGAACCAATTATTTCACAATTATTTTATAAGGAAGATATGATTCCTCTGGGTCATACTTGTAATACCTGTTTATCAATAATTTACTATTTCACACAAAAATAGTCAATATGTAAGAAATTTTTTAAAAGTGAAGCCTTTTCAGCACAATAACAAGTTGTGTTCAGGCACCATACACTAGATATCTACGGTAATGTTTTATTCATCTTTTATAATAACAGTAGATATAACCTCTGTTCTTGCATTAGATATATATCATAATCACTAAAAATTATGTCGCTAATTTTATCGCTAAAATTCACTTCTACCTCTACCTCCACCAGCTTTCCGTTTAATAATCATGATTTATTAAGGCAACATGGGTGCAATTCCAAACATCTGAAGCACCCTTTAATACCACTGGCATTGACAAAATTACCATCAGGCAATTGCAAAAGGCAGCTGTATTTGGAACAGTTTATATCTTGTGATGATGGCTTTAGTGTTATTAAACAGCATCTGCCTATCCCAGATCCTTGGGAAAGACTCGACAGGTTGTGCAAAAATGCCAAATCCAGCCTAAACATCTGGCTGACTGTGAGACCAACTATAATAATAATTTATTAAATTTATATGCCACTTGACTCCTACCAACTCAGGGCAGTTTAAAATTGTTAAAATATTTAAAAAAAATACAGAAAACATAAAAAATAGCACAAGAAAAAGAAAAGTGATGGCAGAGAGAAAGAAAGTCTGTGAAAAGCCATATCGACTCCTGAATGACAACAGCCAACTCTACTCCCCTTCCAGGGCTCTTGGTTTGTTGCAAAACAAAACACCAAAGTGGGCATATTTCCTAGAGGAGAACCCCACCCTCTGGGCCCAACCAGGTCTTACTAAGACATGCCAGGTTGGATCTGTCCCCCAAGATAAGAATCATAAATTAGGGTAGCCTTGTCACACACTTGACCTGGTATTCAACAGCAGAAGCCAAAAGTTCAGAGCCACCAAGGATCCTCTCTGCAGAGGAAGAAAAAGAAGAAAACACTCCGGTCCTCCTTACCTCCCTCCAGTTCAGTAGTAGGGCAAATCACCCCCTAGGCTAAAAAAAAGGGTCACCACCTGTGGACCTCCACTCCACCCAATAACATCCAGAGGGCTGGGGTCAGCCACACTTCCATAGGTTGAATTGTTGGTGAGCTGGAAACTTTGATGCTTTGAGCCTCTGCATGTGTCTCAGGCCTCCACAGCCTTCCCAAGCCCCAAGGCCAACACTGTGATTTTCTAGGCTTCCAAGGTCACTACTGTGATTGCTGTGGTCTCTGTAGTCCTCCACAACCAGAATTCCTATGCCTCCACGCCCTCCATACTTCCGCCAGCTGGAATCCCTGTGTCTATTCCTTTCAATCCCTTGGCTGATTTTCTAAACCCTGGGTAGACTGTTGATGGATTTTCTCCCTTCACTGGAGGTCTCAACTTCTCTTCCTTCTTTCCTGTTCTATCCCAGTGAAACGTCTATCATTTAGCAGCAGTGAGGTGGGCACATGCTTGGATTCTTCATGGATCCAGAGAATGACTTAATTTAGATCAGTTCTTGAAATAAAAATGATTTAGATAAGAGAACGGTTATATTATCTTCAGCAAATGAACCAGGAAGCAATCTGGCTCTTTAACCAGGAAGCAACCAGTCTTTTCTACTTTAGTTAGCCTGATTTGATGTAATTGTTAGAAGAATCTGAGTAAATAGTCACTGAAGGCCTGAGAAAACAAGCAGGAAAATATAGGAAATTAAAACACCATAAGGCAAAACATTACAGCTTTGAAGAAGCTACACGGCAGTCAAGGTAAGGAGACTGTGCAAAAGAAAAGTCCTCAGATATCTGTCTCTATTCATATTGACACATTTATCTCCATACCACTTTCACCTCACGTCTGGACTACATGTCACCTCACATCTGGACTACTGTAACGCGCTCTACATGGGGCTACCCTTGAAAAGTATTCGGAGACTACAGTTGGTCCAGAATGCAGCCGCGCGAGTGATAGTGGGTGCTCCTCGATATACCCACGTTATACCTATCCTCCGTGAGCTGCACTGGTTGCCTATTGGTCTCCGGGTCCAATTCAAGGTGTTGGTCATTACGTTTAAAGCCCTATATGGCTCAGGGCCAGGCTATTTGCGAGACCGCCTACTACCTCATAGTTCCCTACGTCTGGTTAGATCCCACAGGCTGGGCCTCCTTCAGACCCTGTCGGCCAAGCAGTGCCATTTGGCGGGGCTGCGGAGGAGGGCCTTCTCTGTGATGGCGCCCACGCTTTGGAACCAGCTCCCCCCGGAGATTAGGACTGTTCCCACCCTGTTGGTCTTCTGTAAGCTACTTAAGACCTGGCTTTTCCGGCAGGCCTGGGGTTTATAAAACCTGACCCCTGGATGACTGTCTTTGTACTGTTTGTTGGTTATGTTTTATGTGTTTTTTATTGTTAGCCGCCCAGAGTCCTTCGGGAGTGGGGCGGCTTATAAATTTTAAAAATAAAATAAAATAAATAAAATTTGGAAAATATTTTGCCTGCATGAATAAGACAAAATATTTCAGGCCAACTTTCAAAACTTCAAGTTTAAAGTTAAAATGTAATCATGTTTATTACACTTAATGTTTTAAACCAGCTGCATTGAATTTAATTTAAAGATTATTAAACCAGTGGGAGTCAAGTTTGGATTCATAATTAAGCAATCATATATAAGAGGCAGCAAGCTTGTTGCACAGGGAAAGATAAACATGCTTCCTTGGGCACTTGCAAAGCAAAGATGCAACCAAGTGAACCTAATTCCCAAGGTATGAATATTTGTGATTACTACTAACCCCTGAAGATGCTAGGTCTCTGTGTTATGTCAAAGAGTCCTGATATGAAAGAGAAAAGAAAATGTTGAAAAAATAAGAGAAAGTGTTGTTTGATTTTAAAAAAATGGTTTTTGTTTCTTCGTTAAAATGAATATCATTACACTGATCAATCAGAATAAAAAGCAGACCAAACCTTGTATGTACAATAGTGTTTTCCAAACTTGGCAAGTTTAAGATGTGCAGACTTCAAATTGCAAAATTCCCCAGCCGGCATGTTGAAGTCCATACATCTTAAACTTGCCGAGTTTGAAAAACTCTGATGCACATTATTTAAAATGCGAGCCACAAATTTTAAGTTTGCACAGAATTATTCTTAGAATTTCTGTAACTATTTCACAATTTTGTTAGAGTTTGTCTTAAAACAGATGCTATGGAAGTCATCAAACAATATTGGCTTTGGATCCAAGAAACCTTCGTAAAGTGCCAATTCAGCTACTAGGCAATACTATTATATATTGTGATTATTACAATATAATCCTGTAACAGAATTATCAACAATACACAGTCAGTCTGCTTATAATCTAGCAGTTGGGGGGGGGGGAATCCAGAATATCATTTTGCCTATTCACAACATTACCAAGATAATGATAATGACAATAGTCATTCTTATTTCTGTTCTAAATGTATACATTTGTTAGACTGGTACCAGCTTTTCCTTGAGAAGCTCAAGGCCACATAAACAGTACTTTCTCCTGCCAAATTTCCCACAATAATCATCCTTAGAGGTAGGTTGGACTAAGAGAGCATGATTGCCCCAAATTACCCAGTGAACCTCTATGACTGAAGGTAGACTTGAACCTGGGTTTCTTTGATATCAATCCAGCATCTTAACCAATATGCCACACACTGGCTGTAAATATCCTTTTAAAATATCCTTGTTAATTAATATATCTGATTTAGTAGAGGCAATTATACTTGACAGTGGTCAGGAACCTCTGTTACCTTCAAAATGCCCCCCCCCTTTTTTTTACATACCCTCCCATACACTTCTTTAATGTTTAGAAAAGTTCATTCTTTGCTTGTGCTGAAATTCAATTATTATTTTATCAGCAAATTAATCCTGTTCTGCGTTCTCAGAATTTCTACCAGGGCTATCATTTGCCTATTAGCTGAATAGTCTTTGGGGCTTTGCTTTTCTCTATGTTTCTCATCCATTTTCTACTGGTTATAAAATATGAAGTTGAAAAATCCAATACTGTGGACAACAACGGATACACACTCTTCTTCTGAGCCTGTAGACAGAGGCCTCACAGTGAGGGCAGACTAATTTTATTAACTTCAGGGGAACTTCAAAAAGCTTAAGGCCTTTAATGCCAGACAGAGACGACCCCAAAAGTCAGTTTAAGTGCTGCATAAACAAAGGATTAGGTCAAGAAAAAGCTAAAGGCTCCTTGCATTTCTTGTTTATATTGTCATATGACCTAGTGGGAGTGGAAGCGGGTTGACTTTCTGATTTTAATCCGCCATGGTGTACAGTGGTGCTTCAGTTCATTGACCTACATTACAATAATATTTTTTTAAATTTATGGCCAGAGTTGCAGCATCAAACTCACTTAAGGAGTTAAAATAGGAAAATGAAAGGGGGGCAAAGAACAAATGTTTCTGACTAGTAAATTCTCCTTCTTGCTTAGGTTAGATCAGCAGCTTAGAAAGGGATTTCCAGTTCAAAGAGACTGTTTCTGCTGCTCTTGTTTTATGGCTTAGAGTAGAGGACACACTAGCACTGCGCTTTATTAAACATTCCCTCCCCCTTGACTTTTCTGTTTGCAGGGGGGGAAATATTATTGTATTAACACAGGTGAAGCATCAGTCATCTTTCTCTCTCTCTCCCCCTTGCACAAATTTTAATATAAAGTACACAGTTTTACAATCCTTTTGATTTAATTTAATTTATTTGCACTGCAGTATATTATGTTTGCAGTGAAGAGCTGCCTTTTATGTTGTGACATTCAGTACAAACTCATGGTTTAATTCTGCATGAAAAAAAGGATATTTAAACAGACCTTCCTTCTCTACTTCCTCCAAGTCTCTACAAGTCAGATCTTATTTACGGTAGTGTTGCTCAGGTTATTTATTTATTAACTCAGAAGTCCCCAACTTTTTGGGCACCAGGAACCGGTTCTGTGGAGAGAGGTTTTTCTGTGGACCAGAGGGTGCGTGGTTGTGTGTGCTGCTTGCATCCCACGGATGGGGCTTTCCTTGTTTGTGTGGACTGGTTGCTGGCATGCCGTGGCTCCGTACTGGTCCACGGACCGGGGGTTGGGGACCCCTGTATTAACTGATTGGGTTTCTATGCCTCCAAATCCTGTTTTGCACTATGTTACCAAAAGAATAGTGGAGATAGTCCTCGACTTACAACAGTTCACCGAGTGACTATTCAAAGTTACAATGGCACAGAAAAAAGTGACTTATGACCATTTTTCACACATATAACCATTCAGATTCTTAGCAACTGACTGATATTTATCACAGTTGCAGTGTCCTGGTGTCGTGTGATCACCTTTTGTGACTTTCTGAGAACCAAAGTCAATGGGAAAGCCAGATTCACTTAACAGCCCTGTTATTAAATTAACAACTATAGTCATTCAATTAACAAATGTGGCAGGAAAAGTTGTAAAAAGGGGCAAAATTCACTTAACAAATGTTTCACTTAGCAACAGAACTGTTGGGTTCAATTGTGGTTGTAAGTCGAGGACTGTCTGTATATTGACAACTGCAAGAAAGCTAAATAAAAGGAGAAAAGGACATTAATCCAACTACCATTTCTTCATTACTGTCTTCAGTTGATTTCTAAATTTGATTTAGTACTATTTATTTATATTTCTCCTTTTTTAACCACCCATTTCCCTCAGAGAGATTACCCAAGTATCTCCCCCAAAATTGTGTTAGCTTTTTCACTCACCTTGAATCACAGGATCGCACAAAGTCTGCATCTAGATGCCCCTTTTGTGACTTAATAACGAGTCAGGCGGCACTGACACATGTCAGGAAACATGTGTGTCTGTCATTCGGGGATGGTTGCATAGATGTCCCATTAATGCTTCTGCAAATGTAACATGTGACACCTATGTACAGATGTGCCAACTCTAAATCAAGCTTATACAACCAAGGCATTTGGGGCATTCATAAATTCGGCATCTGACTCCTAACAGACTTGGTTTAAAGTTGTCTTGTTAAAAACCATTAATTATAATGTCCTCGTTTGAATAAAAGAAAAAAAATAGTAAGTAAAGAATTTATTTTTTGGGTGCCAGTTCAAAGGGAGTTCAGATCAACTTTCTGCATCAACTTTCCCCTTAAAAAAAGGGTTTTTTTAATAAGATTGTTAAAAACCAGCTCAAATTTGATAGCTCTTTCAATCAACTGTCATTAGGATTAGAGCAGGGATTCCCAAACATTTCGCTATTACACCTCCCTTTAGTGTAAGCTTAATATATATCCCTCCCCCCCCCAAAAAAATCAAAACAACAAAAGCAATGGAAATGAGGAATGAAAACAATACAATGAAACTCTGAGAAACTTTGGATTTAGGATAACAAGGTAACAAACATTCCTCACGTCTCCCCTGGAGATACACCTCACAATTTGAGAACCCCCCTGGTTTTGAGTTTAAATAAATTGTTGTTAATTTGACCATGCCAGGAAGATTTAAAAATATAGGAGAAGCATATGAACCTAAGACTCATGTCCATGCAGCAAGTTTCAGCTAGTGCTGTGTTGGAATGACACCGATAAATGTAGAAGACATACAAACAATTTGCCTCAACTCACTCCTTTCAGAGAAGCCAGCAAGTTCCCTATCGCGCTAGGTCAGAGGTTGGGGGACGAACTGAAGGGATATGTAGACACCACGCTCTGTAGGCATATTTATCTTGAAAGCTCTCTCGGAGATTTAAAAGATTTCCAAAAAGGGCTCTACAGAGAAAGGCACTATGATCCTAAGAGCCCACGAAGAGCGCAACCTTAGTGCCTGAGAATAACTGTATTTCCTAAAAGGTGACACAGGAAGCTGTATGCTGATCATATGTGGAATCTGTGGTAATTTCAACTTTGTTTCACTGAGGCCAGTTCATACTCATACCCATGGCAACTTTCTTTCATTTCCCACTTGTACAGTTACTTTAGGCACTCATATTGCAGCAATGGAATCACGGCATCAAATGAAGTTTATAAGGGCCTACACTTAAAAACTAAGAAAGTTTGTTTTCCGAAAACCACTTGTTGCAATTGCAACATCATTAATAGGGTTGTAAATATATGAGCAACCTTCAAAATTGCTTAATTAGTATGTTTACTTGTGCTACTGATATATTTATACTGATATAAAAACATTTAATAAGTACTTTTGTTATTATTTCTTATCACGTTTTACAGAAAGAAATGAAAAAAAAAAAGACAGTCCCATCAAAAACAAGCCCCCTCCACAGGAAAGAACCACATGAAAAAACTACAAAAACAAAGCAAAACTCATAAGGAAACAAATTACCAGTATATTTCTAATGTTAAGCTACTAAGAAAGAATCAAACAAAAAGAAATTTACTGGGTTAAATTACTATTTTGCCATCTGGCAGATTATTTGGGCTTGACGAGATTTAGAGACTTTTAATATTAGGAGAATGCTGGACAACTGCACTCTTTTCTCAATCTTTGTTAATTATCCTACTCTGCAAATGTTATATTTGTGAAAGCAGAAAACCTAAGCTCACAGAGATAAAATGTTAAAAATACTTGAGAATTACCAGAAGCTTTGGGGGAAGGGGGTAGTCTGTGGATATTCATTTTTTACCTGTATCTGGAATTCATCAACAGACATTTCCATCTACTTTAATTTGAAATGATGTTTGTTGCACATATCCATTAATTTCTTGCATGAGTCTAAACTGAAATTGATTTGATAAAAGAGTTTCTCAAGCAATTATATTTTCTACTGGATATATGTGGAAAATAATACAGAATTTTATTTTCCAATACTTCAGTTGTTTGGCAATTAATGGTTGGACCACGTTATTGTTGTTTGGAACACATTTGTGGATCATGTCCACATTATCTACCTTCACTTTTACAGTCCAAGTTCAAAAGCATTAATTTCATCTGAACAAAAAACAGGAGAACTGAGATGTGGAGGACACGGGGAATGACCTTAAGGCAGTGTTTCTCAACCGTGACAATTTTAAGGCATGTGGACTTCAACTCCCAGAATTCCACAGCCAGCATTGCTGGCTGTGGAATTCTGGGAGTTGAAGTCCACATGTCTTAAAATTGTCAAGGTTGAGAAACACTGCCTTAAAGGATACGAGGAAGAGCTGCGACCCAGAAATCAGTCAGATAAGTGGTACTTGAGCCCAGGCTAGGAAACTAATTTGAAAAAACATCTCAGACAAATAAAGGAGGACACACATATTCAGACTTGTAAGATTGTGTTATTGAAGGTATTACAGTAAAAATTGTCCTGATCTATACAGTACTGGTTTCTTAGTCTGGAGACTCTCCCTGGTAGGGCTGAAGAAAAACAAGGCAGTAGAATGACCAACACTTTCAGTAACTATACCCCAAATTCCACCAACTCGAGTGTCTTTCATATGACTGGTTTTCATATCTGCATCTTCCATGGCTATTGAAGAAAATTCTGAGGATTGAAACTCAATCTTGACAACACTAAGTCTACTATGCAATTAAGATGCGAAATGTAGAATATAAACAAGCAAAGAATATACCTTTTCCAAGATTTTCATGGCTATATTTCTAATGTTTTCATTGTCAATTCCAAGGCTGGTTGTTCTACATGTTTTTAATTTGAGCTTCTTTATATTTATATTTTTAGTCCTGTTTGTTCACTGTGCTTCTTGATTTTTATTACTAGAGCTTGGAGATCCTTTGTATTTTCACCTATCGCAGTGGTGGTGAACCTATGGCACGGGTGCCAGAGGCAGCACTCAGAGCCCTTTCTGTGGGCACACGCACTGTCACCCCAGTCCTAGGCTTTCAGCTGGGTTTTATAAAACCTTTTCACTTTAGGCCTCCGCCTCCGTGTGCAAAAAAAAAAAAAAAAGGTTCAATCAGTCAATTTCAATTTCTCACGGGAAAAAAAAGATCTTATAAAGTTGGAATTGATTGAACTTTTTAGTCCCACCCAGTCTGCCGTTACCACCGCAGCCATGCCCACCCAATGGGTCACACCCACCCAATTGGCCATATCCAGCCAATGGGTCACACCCAGCCAATAGGTCACACCCACCCGGCACCCGACGATGCATAAGTGGGTTTTGGGATGCAGTTTGGGCACTCAGTCTCTAAAAGGTTTGCCATCACTGACCTATCAGAAGGTTATCAATGTTTCTTCCTCCAATTGTAAAACCATACTCATCTTCTTCTAATCTAGCTTTCCTTTATATATATTCAACATATCGGTAGAATAAATAAGTGGAGAATATAAGTGTTGTCACATCCCTTTGCCAACATAGAGCCAGTCCATTTTTCCATGTTCTCTCCATATTATGTCTCCTTTCCTTGTATATAGGTTTCTTATAAGAACATTAAGATGTACTAGTGTTCCCATTTTCTAACATATTCCACAGACTGGCATGATTGACACAATTAAATGCCTTTCTCTGTTTAATGGAGAACCTACTGCCATCTTTTTAATATTCCTTGACTCTCTAATTTCATAGCAATAATATTTTGCATTTCTCCATTTGTTCTAAAGCCAGCTTGAACTTCCAGCATCTCTCTTTCCAGCAGGGTTTTTATTATGCCAGCATGTAAGTTAAGGATATTATACAATAGTTTATACATTGTGTTAAGTCTTCTTAACACAGGGTAAGTTCGTTTTGGTACCAGATGGCGATACACATATGCACAGTGATCACTTTGGTTATTTGAACACAATTTTAGCTATGAGCTATGAGTAATTAGAATGGCAGAAGTTCTAAGTCATTCTCCTGCTTCATTTTGGTTTCCTAAGTCATAAAACATTTCCAATTTTGTCATGCCAGTCTCCAATGACAAACAGGACATCTTGCTTTCATGTTTAATTGATTTCAGGCTGAACTTGCTCATAAAACTCATTAGCCTCTTCTTCTTCTGTATCAGTAGTTGGAGCATAAACATAAATGATCATTATACTAAATGTTTTCCACAAAGTCTATTTGACAATTGATTGCACTGCAGCCAAACACTGTTCTCAGTATATATTTCTTAACTATAAAAGCAATGCCACTTCTTTGGTTTTCATGCCCTTAGTAAATAGTGTGATCTTTAGACTGAAAGTATTCCTAGTCCATCTAATTAACTGATGCCTAAGGTCAATTCGTAGTCCTTCCATTTCATCTTTCACTGTGCTGGGCTTTCTTGTGTTCATGCTTCTTACGTTCCATGTTCCCAATGTAATTCTATCTTTGTAGATTTTCTTTTCCTGTATATCAACGTCAGCAACCAGACATCCCAGAGCTTTTATTTAGCCATGCATTAACACTAATTTGTACTTCAAAAGATTCTCAGCTCTTCCTCAGTAGTATACTAAAGCCCTCAGACCTACAGTATATTGTCAATCATTTTATATTTTCTATGCATGTGGTTTTCTCATGAAAAATATAGAATTGGTTTACTATTGCCTTCTCCCATGCAATATGAAGTGATGTTTTCAGTTGTCATTGTCACCAAAGTGATTATCTAGCTTGTTTCTGCCCAATATAGCTGCTTGCTTGCTTTAGCTGGTTGACTTCAAGCTTTGGGTAAGCCAGATGGGAAAATATTTTCTTGGCAAATGCTCCCAGTATTCTTTGTTCATTCCTCCAAGCAGCATCTCCTCCTCCTACCATAATGAGACAGCACAGCAAAACCTGAGGTACTATTACATATGAACTAAGTGACTATTACATTACTTCATTACTTAATACAACTATCCAAACATTCTGCAAACTAAAATTTGGAAGATTATACAAATAACTTTATAATAACACCAACAAAGTTTTGATATGACAAATTTAGTCTTGCCATCCCAAAAAGTAATTTTAACCCTGCTTTTTTTAAAAAAGTGACATTTT